CACATAATGAAGAACTATCCACACAACATCACAACAGTACCCCTTGAGAGAATGAGAGCATAACCAACCTAAAATGGGGAAAGAGAACCCATTTATAAATTATGAAATATAGCAAAAATTTCTTGAGGAAGAGAAATGAGCTGAAACATCATAAGTGTTTTATAAAAATATGAATGAATGCTTCCTAGAGAAGATCATCTAAAGACTACAGAAGAGACCACCCCACCAAAAACAAAACAAACAAAAAATACAAGGTTTGTCGTTAAAACAGAAAGATAAAGTACAGAGAAGTTAACTAATTACCTAACTTGTCCAAGTTCGTTCCCAGGCAACCTAGTCCTACATTCCAAATTCTTACCACCAACTATACTAAATGAGCTAACAAGCTAAGAAGGAGAGGGGGAAAAAAACTGTGAAGAGCCAATCATGGGTAACATGGCAGTTTTTTCTCCATGTATTCATAGTTGTGGTTTTACGTATATTATATGCACTTTCTGCCAGTCAATTAACAACTCTGTTATCATAATGTGTTTTATAATCAACAGGAATCTAATTTCAATGAAACACAGTAAGTTTGTAAAATTATAATCTGCGCTAGAGCAGAAAAAGTGTTTGCAAACTATACAAACAGAGCCCTGGAGGCCATCTCAGCCATGGAGCAGGGTAACTCGGGCGAGGGAGGCTTTCAGCTCAACAAAACCAGTTTCCTTTTTATCTTTTCCCCTTATTTGGAGGGGCCATTCATAATATATGCTACTATCAAGGAAACGATTCCACTGAGTAAGAAAAAAAGCTTGAAAGATCATGAAATCAGATAAATTATTAAGATTCCTTAAAGATTTTAGAATTCATAAAGTCCTGACAAACAAGTCACAGACTACATGACCAAGAAAGGCTTTAAATACTCTACTGCCTCCAAAGCTAGTATATTTACACTCTATCTCCTTCTACAATTTAAAGAGATGTTACAAGTACAAATTTATGTCCCAGATACTGATAATTATTTTTAACTTAACACTAAACACACACACATGGAACAAGACTGATGTTCTCAAACACTGCAGAACAGTAAGAAGCCAGTATCTCTGCAGCAAAGGGATTTTTTAAAAAGTCGTGTATATTTTTTCTTCTCTCTCCCTTAGAAATGCTAACATTTCATTTTTAAAAATCTGCCCTGGCTAGTGTGGCTCAGTGGATTTAGTACTGGCCTGCAAACTAAAGGTTCACCAGTTCAATTCCCAGTCAGGGCACATGCCTGGGCTGTGGGCCAGGTCCCTGGTTGGGGGTGTGCAACAGGCAGCAAACTGATGTTTCTCTCTTTCTCCCCCGTCCAAACAAACAAACAAACAAACAAACAAACAAACAAATAAGGGGGGGGGCTCTTGAGAGGTGGCCTGAAAACAGAGTCCAGACCAGAGGGAAGAGACAAATGATCTCTCTCCATTCTGATACCTGATTACATGTTCATGTGTTATTCAATAAATAGTTCACAGTCTAGTAGGAGAAAAGGATTAGTAAACAAACACCTGAAATACAATGTGTTAAGTACAACAACAAACATGTGTATAATTTAATGAAAAAGGGAGATACTTTTCCTTGGAGTGGTGGGAAGAGTAAACAAGGGGAAAGGTGACTTCAGAATCCCACAGATGGGCAGGAGTTTACTAGAAAGAAGGCAAAAGATATTTTAGGTACTGGGAACAGTATGAACAAGAGCTTGGGGAAGTGAAAGCAAGTGGTGTCTTTGGGGACTGGCTACAGGGGAGTAAGGAGGCGACTAAAGATGAAAGAGAAAACAAGGCCAGGCCAAATCATGAGCAGCTTTAAGTCTCATTCCAAGGACCCTGGCTTTATTACAGCAGGTACAAAAGTTCAGGCAAAGAATGATGTCGCATAAGCACTATGAAATACCTTTTCTAACATTAAATATTTCGGAGGGTGTAAAAATTAAAGTTTCCACTATCTGCAAAAACAGAGGAAAACATTAATTCCAAGACTCCTTCAAATAACTCCAAAGATCCTACAGGTCATGAGTCCAGCTAAGAGTTCCCTGAGGGCAAGAAGTATTCACTATTTATTCTTCTTTGGATTTCCAGGACATGGGATATAGTGAAACCAATAGGGATTGATCTGTGAATAAGGATAATAAGATAAAACAAAACAAAAACAAAAACAAAAGAAAAAAAAGGACTTCCGGCCAAGATGGAGGCAGGTAGGTACACTTTGCCTCCTTGCACACCCAAAAGGAGAACAACAAATTTAAAAACAAAAATCAACCAGAACTGCCAGAAAATCAAACTGTATGGAAGCCCAACAACCAAGGAGTTAAAGAAGAAACATTCATCCAGACTGAGACAGGTAGCCACAGTAGAGAGGCGCAGCAAGGCAGTGGCTGGAGGACTGGGCAGGCCCACATTTGCGTGCAGATAAACTGGGAGGAACAACTGGGGAACAAGGCAGACTAAGCAATCCAGGATTCCAGTGCAGGGAAATAAAGCCTCAAAACTTCTGGTTGTAAAAACCTGTGGGGGTTGCAGCAGCAGGAGATACTTCTCCAGCCTCTCCAGCCTCTCCTTTGCTGGAGAGACCCACAGGGTCCTAGAACATACACAAACCCATGCCTGGGAATCAGCACCAGAAGGGCTCAATTTGCTTGTAGGAAGCGAGAGAAGTGACTGAAAGCTGGCCGAGAGCCGAGCAAGTGGCACTGTTCTCTCTGACCCCTCCCCGACAAACTGCGCCACAACACAGCACCATGGGTTGTCCCACCCTGATGAATAACTAAGGCTCTGCCCCTTACAACATAACAGGTGTGCTGAGTAAAAAAAAAATATGGCCCAAATGAAAGAACATATCAAAACTCCAAAAACAGAACTGAGTGATGAACAGATAGCCAGCCTATCGGATGCACAGGTCAAAACACTGGTAATCAGGATGCTCACAGAAATGGTTGTGCATGGTCGCAAAATGGAGAAAAAAGTGTGGGGCTATGCAAAGTGAAATAAAGAAAAATACACAGGGAACCAACAGTACAGGGAAGGAAACCAGGAATCAAATCAACAACAGAAGCAGAAGGAAGAAATAAAACATTCAACCAGAACAGAATGAAGAAGTAAGAATTCAAAAACATGAGGAGAGGCGTAGGAACCTCCAGGACAACTTTAAATGTTCTAACATCCAAATCATAGGGGTGCCAGAAGGAGAAGAGGAAGAGCAAGAAATTGAAAACTTGTCTGAACAAATAATGAAGGAGAACTTCCTCAATCTGGCCAAGGAAATAGACTTCCAGGAAGTCCAGGAAGCTCAGAGAGTCCCAAACAAGTTGGACCCAAGGAGGCACACACCAAGGCACAACATAGTTACATTACCCAAGTTAAAGATAAGGAGAGAATCCTAAAAGCAGCAAGAGCAAAGGAGACAGTTACCTACAAAGGAGTTCCCACAAGGCTATCAGCTGATTTCTCAAAAGCAACCTTGCAGGCAAGAAGGAGCTGCAGAGAAGTATTCAAAGTCATGAAAGCCCAGGACCTCCATCTAAGATTATTCTATCCAGCAAAGCTATCATTTAGAATGGAAGGGCAGATAGAGTGCTTCCCAGATAAGGTCAAGTTAAAGGAGTTTATCATCACCAAGCCCTTATTATATGAAATGTTAAAGGGACTTATCTAAAAAAGAGACCAAAACTATGAACAGTAAAATGACAACAAACTCACAACTATCAACAACTGAACTTAAAAAAATGAAGCAAACTAGAACAGGAACAGAATCACAGAAATGGAGATCAGAGAGGAGGGGGTAGTGGAGAAAATGGAAGAAAAGGAACAGGGAATAAGAAGCATAAATGATCAAAATAGACAGGGGAAGGTTAAGAATAGTATAGGAAATAGAAAAGCCACAGAACTTACATGTATGACCCATGGACATGAACTAAGAGGGACAGGAAATGCTGGTGGGAGGTATGGTACAGGGAAGAGGGTAATAAAGGGAAGAGAAAAAATGGGACAACTGTGATAGCAAAATCATACTTTAAAAAAAAGGAGATGATTCCAAGGTTTCTGGCCTGATCATCTTACTGAGGTGCTGATGAGAAGAGTATGAGTTTGCCTAGGAGATGTTAAAATTCAGAAATGTACAGACTATCCAGGTGTTCTGTCCAAAAGCAGTTAATATACAGGTTTGGTACTCCAAAAAAAGTTTGCAGTATGAATTTGAGCATCATCATGTATGTTCTGCTGGTGACAGTTGAAGCCATGAGGTCACTGAGCATGACTGAAGTCCAGCTCAGAATCTAGTAATCCCAAGGCAAAGATAAGACTAGAAAGAGACAGAGCAAGAACATTCAGAGAGGGAGCAGAAATAAAAGAAATATTATATGACTCTAGGAAGGTACACATTTCAAAAGACCTTTGGAATATGGTGCCAAATGATAAAGGTCAGTATAGAGACTGTTAGATCTGGAAGCTAGGTAGTCACTAATAAACATTTCACTGGAGTGGGTAAATAATACACTGGGTTAAAGAATAAATGGAAAACAGGAAGAAATGATGGTGAGTATAGATCACTTTGTTCAGAAAGTTTGGCAATAAAGAGAAGTGTTAGTAGCTTGATAGTCATCAGGTTGAAGAAAGTATGCACATTTTGTGCATTTTTTTAATATGACATATCTAGAGATTTTGTGAACAAAGACTGCCTTCAGTGTTCTTTTAGTACCTACTAGGTTATATAATAAAAATAGCAACATTATTAAATCATTGTTTAGAATGTAAGATATGTCTCCTGCAATTTACTAAATTTTAACTAAAATCTTAGTGCAAAAGGGACAGCACTAGACTGAACCAACCAACAGTCATTAAGTTCAAGTCATTCACCTGCATGGAGTAACTGTTTAAAGAGAGGCCGTGTCCTGTTATGTAGTTTGACAGGTTCTATGAGCAACACTGAGGATGCAGTACGATGTTACCTTAATTCCTTCACCCTGGGCTGCACAAGGACATACTTACCTCCATAGTAGAGTCCTGTAGCAGTGCACATCCGCCACTGTCCCTGATACATTCCTGCTCTGCTAGGGCTGCACATCTGGACGCTGACATCTGCAATCTCTTGGGGCTCTAGTGATCTCACCATCACCATATTCACGTGTCCAAATTGGTCTCCCCCGACATATTTAAGACACACCCCTGGAGGCCAGGCCTCTGCTCCTGAGTTCAAGCAAAAGAAAAAATGTTAAGCAATCAGTGGTCTCTGCTTGGTGCAGTTCATTACAAAGCTATGGAAAAGGCCTCTTTCTATGTCTCTCACACATGTAATCCTGCCCATGTATCCCTAAGCTATATAACGTCTCACATGACTGATCAGAGGGAACTATCAGAGTAAATAACCTCTGACCAACAGGCTATCTCTAAGAGAAGATACATAAAGCAAAAGCGAAGCAGTTGCTCAAGAAGATTTTTAGGTGACCCCAGGGAAGGCCACACATTATACTAAATCTGTAGAACCTCAGAATGATATATTTGAAGAGCCATGAAAACAAGCACAGGGCCACATTGTTGGGGGACTGCTTTCTCTACTAAGACGTAATACATGCCCATTTTCACTCAAACTTTTTAAGCTAAAATTCGTAGTATAAATATGTCTGACTATCCCCAGTTTTTTCACCCAACCAAGGAGATGAAACACATAAGAAGTAATTTCTATGATAATGTTTTCACTTTAAAACTGCTTTTTCCCTGATGTATGACTTTTCTTGTGGAATCCTTAATTGTGAAAAGTTCTAGGCTCAAAAGACTCTGTAAATACAAGACAGGGGAGTCAAGTGCAAGTTTCATGTGCAGGTTCTAACAATAATAGGGAAAATATGAACAGTGTGATGAACTCCCCTGATAACAACACAATGAACTGTGTGGGATGGCACCAGCGAGAGAGGTGCTTGTACAAAGGACAGAAATGTCATTTACAGAGAAATGGCTTTGGCAGAAATGTCCTTCCTCCTTTGGAAGTGGCAAAGATCTTATTTGGTACCTACTCTTGGGTACCTATTTTCATGTAAACTGCCCTCTTAAAAAAAAACTGCCAGCAGTGTCCTCTTAAGTTAACACTACAGAGAGCAACTGCAGCTGCTAGAAAGGGTGTGGATGATACACTGATGATATATACAAATTTTATTTTTCATTTCTGGGGCCTATGGCCTGGCAAAACCATATCCACCCTATATCAAGAGCAGTAGCAGCTGACATAAGCATCTTGGAAAACGTTTGTCTTTTTAAAGACCGAGATCCAGGAGGAAAATTAGCCTACTGTTGTAGGGCTGAATTCACAATTTTCTTTAAAATATCGACACAAACACACCTACCTGAAACAAGACACTAACTGTTTATATGAAAACCCCTATAAAGTTTGGAGATTGCATTTCAGGGTAAGTGACATAAAAGCATTGATTCTGTCACCATTTACTCCCTGTAACTCATTAAATGACTAGAACATAATAATGTTTATTGAATGAATGAACTTCTAAGAAAATAAGAAAAACAATGACTGTTTAGGTGTGGGAATACTTGGCTCTCCAGAGCATAAAATCATAAGCAGCTGAGATGGGCAGATATCTCGGCTACGCAAAGAGGGAGTGCTGTTATATTCCAGGGAGAACTGAGTCAGTTGGTAAAACATTAAAAAATTCATGTTAAATTATGCAGCTACAGTCCTGATCTTTTTAGCATCCTAAATACCCTATTGATGTAAATTGGAAGAGCATCCACCATCAACTCTGAAGTGTTAATTTGCTATGAACTGAAGAACCATCATCTGTCTTCCATGAGTTACCAATAATTCACTATGACACACAATTCTTATAGCCCCAACTGATAGGTCAGGTGACTCTGAAAAAGTCAAAGAGGCTGATTCCACCTGGCTAAGTATATCTGAAACCAGGATTTGAGAAATATAATACAACAGGTTTCAAATTAAGACTGATAGAAACTAGCTAAATGGGGGATGAATGTATACCTATACAGATATCTATATAGATATAGACTAATCTGTGTTTTGACTTTCCAAGATTAAATGTCACAAGCATGCATATGATTAAGGCTGTGATTCACCAGTTATCATGGAATATAATTTTATTTTAAAAAATAAAAATTACATCCTCCCTCCCCATTTTGCAATTTTGAGATAGAGAGCATGGCAAAAATGAAATAAAAGATCCAGCAGTTCCAGAAAGCCTGGGACTTACTAGATATGTGATTACAAAAATAGTTTGGAGACAGTAAGGAACATCCAAAGAACAATGCAGAAGACAACAAACCTCAGTGGAGATTCCCTATTCTTTTAATGCTTTTAAGTTTAGAGATTGCATTTCAAATTAAGTGGCATAAAAACAGAAACTTTCATTGATTTTTGTCACCATTATACCCCTGTACCTGATAAAGTGACTAGAACATAAAATTTGTTGAATGAATGAAACAGAATGATCTCTATAATCATATTGAAGAGAAAGGTAGAAAATTTATGCTTTTAGGGAGCCAAAAGAAAAATGAAGGAATAGTTATTCCTTCTCAGGTTCTTCTCCCAACTCTTGTTTTATACTGACTTCTACATAGTTCAAAAAGTAAAGATACCTCTAAAACCATTCTCATGACAATCACAACTACTTCACCAGCTGTGGTTGGTGTGGCTCAGTGGATTAAGCACCTTCCTTAATCAGAACCAGAGGGTCGTCAGCTTCATTCCCAGTTAGGGCACACGCCTGGGCTGTGGGCCAGGTCCCCAGTAGGGGGCGTGCGAAAGGCAACCACACTTTGATGTTTCCCTCCCTTCCCTTGTCTACAAATAAATAAATAACTAAATAAATAACTAAATCCAAAAGAAACCCAACTACTTCACCAAAGTCAGAGAAACACCAGGGTTATCATTGCATGCTCAGCTTAATATTCACTACCCTTGGACAACAGAGTATGGCTGTAACAACTTAGAAGCTAGTTGTACATGTTAGTAAAGAGTACTGTCTACTTCCATCCTTAGAGGGACAGTTTCAAATTTTTACCTTAAACTTCAATGTAAAGTTTCCTGCTCAAATTTCCCACACTTCTAACACTTAAATAGTGACAAAAGTTTGGATCATGGGATTTTACACCTATATCATTAAATGTCTCACTTCTGTTTTTCTGTGATCTAAACTTAAGGATTTAAACAGTATTACTAGTTTAATTTTAAACAATGTGTGGCATTTATCTTCTCTGGGGAAGTTGTTGGGACAGCTATGTGCAGTTCCTATTCATCTCATCTGTTGTATACATGAATACCAGGCATGCCTAAAACATGACAGCAGAGAAGATCATGAAAATTATTTAAGAAACTCTTTAAGTGAGCACTAGAGATTATGAATGAAAGTAAGAGAGCCAGAGAAGAAATAGCAAAGCCTGCCCTACTTCTGTGTTTCTACTCCAGTCCCAGATTAGGGTGGTGCCAAAGAACCACTGCACATGCACACTTTTCCTCTCTCTCTAACAAAACACCTGTCACTCAGTTACTGGAGGCCAGGTTCTCTTTAATCAGGTGGAAAGCATTTAGTTTACAGATAGAAAACTATTTTACAACTGGTTGAACAAATTCCAGAAGAATAAAAAAACTATTTGTTCAAAGTACTCAAAAGGCAAAGCTCTAAGCAATTGTGGCTCAACTTTTCAAGAGGCATTCAGGAACCAAAAAATGCTGTTTACAGGAAAAAAGGCTACAGACCCACAGGCTGTTTAAAACTGGCGTTACTATGTAAAAATAGGAGGAAAATGCAGTCAGGCCCACAAATACAGATTTTCTCCAAGTCAAAGGGAAAGGCAGGCTCTTTGGGTTTCTGGTTTTACAGTCTAGCCATTTTATATTAATCCCTCTTCCAACACCCCTCTCCCCATTGACCCTGGTAACTGTCTAGTGGGTGAACTGATATATCAAGAGGTTTTCTAAAATATAAAATGGTTATTCTGCAACAAGATAGTACTTAAAATATTTCAACATTACTCTAACAACTTACAATATTTAAAAGCATTATAATGACTTCATAGAAGTCCTGACCATTTTCACTATAAATAAACAAGGTCTTAGATTAATTTTTTAAAATGAAATAAAACTTCTGAGTATTTCACACTTTCTAAATAAACACCACTCATTTAAAAATTTCATGTATAAAAGTTTCAAAGGCATTTTTTAAATTTTTAAAAAAGACTGTATTTACTTACTTTGAGAGTGGGGAAGGGAGGGAGAAAGAGAGGGAGAGAAACATCAATGTGTTACAGACACATCGACAGGTTACCTTTGATAGAGGCAACCTATCAATGTGTCTCTCACATGCCCCCAACTGGGGATCTGTTCTGCAACACAGGCATGTGCCCTGACTGGGGCTCAAACCGGAGATCCTTGGGTTCACGGGATGGCACTCAATCCACTGAGCCATACCAGCCAGGGCTCTAAAGCATTGGTTTAATCAGTAACAGCAGGTTTTAGTAATACAAAGAAAAAACACATGAATAGAAGCTGAATTAAAGACACTTTTCATATTCTTAAAAGCAGGCAGCACTAAGAAAGCTAAGAAAGAAATTTGGCAAAGTAAAGATAACCAAACTTAAAACAAGAATTTCAAGAAAAATAAAAAATACAGCTATTTTCCCATATTACCATGTGCCTCTCAAACTAACAATATGCCACACTGTTATAACCAAAAAGGAAAAGAAGCTAATAAAAATTTTACAAAGCCACAGATGTCCCCAGTCATCTACAACACTAGGTCAAACCAAATGATGTATGTTTGCTCCATGACTCACTGAACCTTTATCCAAGGGAGAATTACTTCTAAATAAGTAAAAAAAAAACTAATACCAACAATTTGGTATATTAGTTATTATATAAAAGTCTAGCTTAACCAGCCTTTCCTCATCCTCAAAGAAATATAAAGAACTGAAAAGTAAAGTCAATAAAAATTCACTTTTATAAGGTTTGAGCCCCCAGAATTTTACATCATCTCATATCAGATTACTTGCTAGCTAGGGTTCCCCCACAGCCACAAATTTTTAGCTAAATATCCTTTTGCCTAGTTTTCTATCTCTCAGAATTTCTGTCTCAATAACTGGGATGTTAAAGCATCCTCACCCAGTCAGCATAAATTGTTCTTGGATGGGACAAAGAATACTAAACCCACTCAAATGTAAAAAGTCATTAGAAAACAATTTAACAATTAAAAGGTAGTGAACAGTTACCAGACACATACTCAAACACTATTTTCAAAGAACTATGGTTAGCTTAATTTTAATTTTTCTTAAAGTCAGCAATATACCAAAAACAAAGCTTTAAAAAAAATAATCTCAATCTTTCCCCCCCTTTCCCATTATAAGCAAATCCCCACAGTTCTCACTCTATTTTTCAAAGTGAAATTAATGTCTCAGATAGATATCTCAATTAAATTTCACACAGAATCATCCTATGGTTGTAAAGAAATGAGCTCACAGTTCTTATTCTAGCTACTTTGTTCTATTCATGGCTGTACCTCCACTAGCCTGACGGAAATAAATGGAAGATTAACTAGAGCAGAATTAAAGTGATGGAGTAGAACCACCACACACAGGCCTAGTTCCTGGTATCAAATGAATATTCAATTGTGTTTAGATGCCATTAAGAACTAAATTGTTCTTCCTAATCTAGGACAGGGAATATTTCGTTGATGTTTGGTCATCATACAAGTACAAGAAATGCTACATCATGTGCAAGCAAAATCTCAGAGTTATACAATCACATTTGTAATACTACTAAGAAAAGGAAAACTGGACAAGGAGAATTGCCCATTATATACATACCGGAATTCTGGATCCTCCATGTTTTTATGAACTGAGTATCAGGAGGTATTGACTCCCCTTCTCCTATGGTGACATCTTCAACAAAAGACATAGAGGGCATACTGATGTTTGGGCTCTCAAAGTCATAATAGGCGCCAATTGCTGCTTGTAGGTTCCTACAAAGAGAAAAGGTAAAATACCTCAGTTCTGTCTAGAGTATATCATCCTAACTGTTGAAGAAAGAAAAAGGAAGGGAGGGAGGAAGGAAGAGGGAAGGAGGGAGGGAAGGAGGGAGGGAAGGAGGGAGGGAGGGAGAGACAGAGAGAAAGCCAGCCAGTCAGCCAGCGTTTTAGGGTTTGTAAAAGAACCTATGGCTCCTGGTATATAAATCTTCAGAGCCAGCTATTTTGGCTAAGGAACAGGAAAAACACCAGTACCAACAAACTTGTGCACCATTTTCACCTAAAGTACCCACATAAAAAAGCAACAATCATTATCACTGTCAGTTAAAACATGAGGAAATTTCCCTCTTACCTGAAAGGATAGCAAGTATGAGTCCAGCAAGTCAATTAAGAGAGCTTCTCTGCAACTATTACTGAAATTTGAAACATTCTAATTTTGTAAAAAAGCAATATATGCACATCGTTTATAAGTTTCAGATAGTAAAAAATATCCATCTTATTTCCTTTCTTACACACACACGTAATTGTTCATATAACTTTCTTAGATATCTTTCCAGAACTTCCTTATGTACATACAAATAATATATAGTCTCATTTTGCCCCCTTTTACACAACTGGTAGCATATTATTCACTGCCCTTTGCTTTATTTCCTCAACAATGTCATGAACACATTTCTATGTCCGTGCATAATGAGTATCCTCACTGTTTTTTATATGTGTATCCAATATGTAGACACATAATTACTTATGTAACTAGATCACTTTTGAGTTTGTTTTCAAGCTTTAATTCTTCTATAAAAAAGCTTAGGCACACAGCAAGTGCATCTATAAGATAAATTCCTGTAAGTCATACCACTGGGTCAAAGGGTATATATTTATGGTTTCAATATGTATCTAAACTTCCCTCAATAAAAGCTGTACACTTTTTAGTTGTTGACTTCCAGTCAACATGGAGATGTAGGTAAACACAGCTTGCCTCCTGGCACAACCACCGCAAAAATTGTAACTAGACTACAAAATAAGTGTTACCTACAATTGTCAGAAAAATCAAGCTGTATGAAAGTCCAATAATCAGGGAATTTAAAAATGTCACATTCATCCAAACACATAGGAGGGGTGTAAGCACAGAGACACTTGGAGATGCAAAACTCACAGTCTCACATCCACGTGTACTACATAAAAATCAGGAGGGACACCTCGGAAGTGAGGGATCCCAGCCCCATGACCAGACCACTCAGCCAGGAAGGTAAGTCCCCGTAATTTACGGCTATAAAAACTAGTGCGGGTTGGGCAGAGGAAGAAACTGGAGGGTTCTCAGGAGCCTCCCCTTAAATGGCACACAACAGACTCAGGACTTATGCAGACTCACTCCCTCTGGGCTTCAGCACTGGGGCAGAAGCTAGAAGGGCACCAGTGGCATACAGGAAGAAACTGAAGTGCCTGGCATCACCGTAAGTGCCGGGGGACAGCTTCCTCCCAGACAAAACCCCAGAGGCGAGTCTGTGGCACTGTCCCCGTTTGAGCCCTCTCACACAGAGCCACAAAGTGGAGACACTATATCAGAGACTCCACAAACCTGGTTCACACGGGTTGCTCCCCACGATTATGTAAGGCTCCGCCCCATCCGACTTACTGGTGCACTTCTCTACAACAAGCCATGCTACTAAGACAGGGAGTCAAAGCATCTCTACCTAATACACAGTAAAAAACACAGGAAGGCTGCAGAAATGCAGAGCCAAAGTTATATGGCTCAAATCAAAGAACAGAACTAAACCCCACAAAAAGGAACTAAACAAAATGGAGATAATCAATCACACAAATAGTTCAAAGTACTGGTTATTAGGGTGCTCAAGGAACTCCTGGGTACCTCAACAGCATAAAAAAAAGACGCAAGTACAAACGAAGGTTACATTAAGTGAAATAAAGAAAAATTTACAGTGAACCAACAGTAGAGTGGATGAACCCAAGAATCAAATCGATTATTTGGAACATGAGGAAGCAAAAACCAACCAACCAGAACAGCAAGAAGAAAAAAGAATCCAAAAAAACAAGGATAGGCTAAGGATCCTCTGGGAAAACTTCAAACACGCCAACATTTGAATCGCAGGGGTGCCAAAAGGAGGAGAGAAAGAGCAGGAAATTGAAAACTTATTTGAAAAACCACTGACAGAAAACGTCCCTAATTTGAAGGAAATAGACATACGAGTCCTGAAAGCACAGAGTCCCAAACAAAATGGACCCAAAGAGCACCACACCAAGACACATCATAATTAAAGTACCAAATGTTAAAGATAAAGAGAGAATCCTAAAAGCAGCAAGAGAAAAGCAGAGACTTACCTACAAAGGAGTTCCCATAAGACTTAGCTGATTTCTCAAAAGAAACTTTGCAGGCTAGAAGGCACTGGCAAGAAGTACCATATTTTGCCATGTATAATGTGCTCCTGTGTATACTGCACACTCACGGGTTTGGCCCAAACTTTCATACAAAAATTTTTAATTTTAATTTTTTAATTTAACTGTTATTTATTTATATTTAGAAACAAAACCGATTATCATATACCAGGGTATTATTTTGCATACAAATATCATTAATGCTTTCCATTAAACGCATTTTAACGCATACACATAAATAAAAGAATTAAAAACATTTATATAGATATGGAGTAGATTCTACCCATGCATAACGTGCATCCTTATTTTTCCCTCAAAAATGTGGGCAAAAAGTACACATTATACACAGCAAAACACAGTATTCAAAGAGATGAACAGCAAGGACATACAATCTATATTACTCTATCCAGCAAAGCTATCATTTAGAATGGAAGGGAAGTACACACAGTGTACTTTCCAGATAAGGTAAAGCTAAAGGAGTTCATCATCACCAAGCCCTTATTATATGAAATGTTAAAGGGACCGATGGAAGAAAAAGAAGATCAAAACTATAAACATTAAAATGGCAATAAATTCACAACTATCAACAACTGAATCTAAAAAACAAGCAGAACAGAATCAGAATCATAACTATGGAGATCATCTGGAGGATTATCAGCTGGGAGGGAGAAAAGGGAGAAAGGGGGAAAAGGTGCAGGGATTAAGAAGTACAAATTGGGGGTCTTCCAGTCAAGATGGAGACATAGGCAGACATGGCTCACCTCTTTGCACATCAAAATTACAACTAAAATATCTATATTTTCTATATTATAAAATTCTATAGAACAATCATCACTCAGGAACTTCAGAAATCAAGCTCAATGGAAGTCTGACAACTACGGAATTGAAGAAACCACATCCCTCCAGAATGGTAAAAGGGGTGCAGATGGGGAATTGGGCGGGCCCCACACCCATGTGGATAAAAATTCAGGAGGGATATCTCAGGAGCAAGAGGTCCCAGGCTACATCAGGCCTCCTAGCCCAGGGTTCCAGTGCCAGAAAGATAGGCCCCCACAATTTCTGGCTGCAATAATGGAAGAGGCTGCTGGAGCCCCAGGCAGTTCCTCTTGGGGAACTTACACACAGACTTGCCCCCTCTGAGTGCTAGCACAAGGGTGTGGGGGTGGCAGCTTGAAGGGCACTAGTGGTATGCAAGGAGAGACTGAAATGTCTGGCATCAGGCAAGCAAAGGCCATTATCCCTTTGCTGAGTCCTCTCCTCACAGAGGTAAGCTGGTCCCATATCTGGGACTCCATCAGCCTAGCTAACACTGTGTGATCTACCTGGAAGATCCACAGAGTCTTTACCTCACCTGATTTACAGGTCCACCCATGCTGCTTTTCCAAAAGAATGGCTGGTCTTAGCTCCTAAGTCCTAACAACCAACCAACAGCTGGCTTCAGTGAGGCCTCGCAGCAGCCAGATTAGAGTCACAGGTTGGCTTCACCTGGGAATCTCCAAGCCCAGCACAAGTAGCAACCATCTCAGATTGCTTTAGAGTTCAGGCAGGGCTGTCCTGGGCAAAACACAGGTAGGGGCTAACCTTGGCCTGCACCACCTGGAAAACCCCAGAGCCAGTGGACAGCTACAGACCATGTCAAAGCACCACCACCCTGCCCCTGCCAAAATGATCCTCCACGGAGGGTGGCGGTTGGTGGTCAGTGGTCACAGCCAAGTCCTTGGAGTTGACTGGCTTAAGTAAATCCCACCCATTGCTCTGCCAACAGCAACCAAGGCTCAACTACAAGAGGAGGGTGTATTCAGCCCACACAAAGGGCACACCCCGAGTACCCAGCGTGGGTGATAGGGGAGGTTGTACCACTGGACCCTATGGGCCACCTACTACATTAGGCTACACTACCAAGACACGGAGTCAAAGCAGGTCTACCTAATTCACAGAAACAAACACAGTGAGGCTACCAAAATGAGGAGACAAAGAAACATGGCCCAATGGAAAGAACAGATAAAAACTCCAGGAAAAAAGCAAAACAAAATGGAGAAAAGCAATCTATCAGATGCAAAGTTCAAAATACTGTTCACAAGGATGCTCAAGGAATTTAGTGAAGACCTCAGCAGCATAAAAAAGACCCAGTCACAGATGAAGGATACTTGATTGAAATAAAGAACAATAAACAAGGAAACCACAGTGGAATGGATGAAGCCAAGAATCAAATCAATGATTTGGAAAATAAGGAAGCAAAAAATCACCACACAAAACAACAAGAAGAAGAAAAAAATGAGGACAGTATAAACAGCCTCTGAGACAATTTTAAGAGGTCCAACAATCACCCCATAGGGGTGCCAGAAGTTGAAGAGAAACAGCAAGAAATTGGAAATCTATCTGAAAAAAAAGTGGAAGAAAACTTCCCTAATTTTGTGAAGGAAATACGCATACAAGTTTAGGAAGTACAGAGAGTCCCAATTATGATGGATGCAAAGAGGTCCACTCCAAGACATATCATTATTAAAAGGCCAAAGTTTAAAGATAAAGAAAAACTCTTAAAAGCAAGAGAAAGGAAGTTAGTTGCCGGAAGGTTGACATATTGGAGGTGGGGAGAATAGGTG